CTGCTGGAACGAATTAATTTCGTAAGTAGAGGTACCACTGTATTTGGTGATGGGGAACATAATGGCTTGGACAATTCTAATTTTAGTGCTCAGTTGTATATCTTAGGGCCTTTACACACTGCAGAAATAGTGCAGCTTGAGGCCACTTTAACTGTTCTGGCTCAGTACTAGAGAATCATGGGAATTGTATTTTTTTCTGGGACATTGAGCCTTCTCTGCCAGAGAGCTCTGGTGCCACAATAAACTACAGTTCCCATGATTCCTTAGCCCTGAGTCAGGACAGTTAAAGTGGCTTCAAGTTGCACTATTTTTGGCAGTCTGTAAAGGCCCTTACTCTTTAAGAACTTTTCTAGTTCTCTCATCACTGCTGTTCCTGTACTTGGTCTTTTTCTGATTTCTTGGCTGCAGTCTTCATTCTGATCAATGTTTGATCCAAGGTACAGGAACTCTTTCAATCTCCTCATTGTCTAGGTTGAATTTATGTATTTCTTCAGTGGCCATTATTTTTTATTTTCTTTATGTTCAGAATTAAATCTGCCTTTACACTTTTTTATTTGGCCTTCCTTAATAATTGTTCCAAGTCTGTGACATTTTCTGCTAGTAGTATGGTGTCTTCCGTATACCTTAGATTGTTCATGTTCCTTCCTTCTATCTTCACACCTCCTTCTTCTGAGTCTAAACCTGCTCTTCATATGATATTTTCAGCATACCACATATAATGGTGCAGACATAAGTGTCCATGAAGAGATTTCTCTCTGAAAAATAAAAAGAGCATGGGGCAAAATGTAGTCAAAGGAATCTATCAAATTTGGCTATTAGTGTGCTGTACTTTTTAAATGTCCAAGTCTGAAAAGTATTGCGATAAAAACGTCCCATGGTATAAGAAACCGAAATTAAGTGTACTGCTATTTTAACTATATAGGGCTTTGTTGTTGTTTTTTAGTAACTTTATTTATATTCCAATATACCTCTACAATAAAAATTTCCATTATTTGTACAAACAAAAGAAAAAGTCAGCTCATTGTCAATACTACATAACATAGTAATACTTCCAAAAGTTTCTTTGACAATAAATACTTGTTGTTTCTGCTCTTTACTCCAAGTCTCTCCATATCTCTAAAATATATTTGTCCGCTCTCGCTCTTAAAATAGTTAATCAGCCCTGTATTCCTTTCTCATTATCAAATTTTTGTATATCTCGACTTTCTGTGTAGGAATTCAAGTCCTAATCTTATTGTTAAATTTCCCCTCGTTAATTTACTATCTAAACAACTATATAGGCCTTTGTTTTGCAGATCCCTCAATTGTCTCTGAAGCTTGAACTGGAAAAATAGCAGAGGGGAATGGAGTAAGGGAGTCTTTCCCCTTGCAATCAGTTTCCTTTCTAAAACAGGGCTGGGGAGCTTTGGCCTTCCAGCTGTTGTTGGATTGCAACCCCCATGATTCCTTAACCTTGGTTATGCTAGCATACTCTTGGGAGTTGCAGTCCAACATCTGAAGGGTCACCCATTCCTCACCCCTGCTCTAAAACATAATGCCCCGCCATCAGTTTTTTTTTCTTCTGTTGAGCATTTTGGACTTCAGTTTAGCAAGTGTTCCATCCCAAATTAGAAAGAGGGTAAATCTGAGCTAGCATATGTCTGTTGCTTAAGGTTATTTATTCCAGATATGATGTCATAGCTAGACACTTAAATGGCAGATAGCATGTTCCTCACACAAAATGCTTTGCAAGCAGAAAAACCAAGAGTAGATGCTTGGATTATTTTTAAATTTTAGGTAACAATTCTGTTCCTACCTGCACTTGCCTTGATACATAGTTGTCACTTCTTTATAACAAATTTGAACAGATGGTGAAAGAAAATATGACTTCTGAATGGAATTTAATTGATACAAAAACAACAGAGAGTCTTGTGATACCTAAAAGACTTAACAGGTTTATAGTGGCATACACTTTCGTGGACCAAAGCTCACTTTCCTGGATGCATGAACTGGTAAAACATGCAGTGCAGTGTGTCAACACAGGGCAAATAATTCTCTTTCCCTCTTTTAAAGCACTCAGGCTTCTTGTAAATAGAGTTTTGAATGGTGCAATTTGGAACGGGGGGATTCATTTGTTATATACAATTAGGATTCTGGTTTTTGAATCGATTGTAAATCATTTTTATTCCTCTTTATGCCCAATCCTACAGTAGACAGACATTGGGCAAGTTGTGTATTAAAAGTATCACTCTCTACTTGACTCTAAGGGCCTTTGCAGACTGCCAGAAATAGTGCAAATTGAATCCACTTTTAGGGTTAGGGTTAGGGAATCATGGGAACTGTATTTTATTGTGGCACCAGAGCTCTCTCACAGAGAAGGCTCAATGTCTCAGGGGGGAAAAAAACAATTCCCATGACTCCATAGCACTAACCCTAACCCTTAAAGTGGGCTCAATTTGCATTATTTCTGGCAGTCTGCAAAGGCCCTAAATTCTTCTTTTCACCCTGATAGTAAGGCAATACTTAAGACTTTCCTAGCCAGTGGGGCACTTTTCTTCCTTCTAGGCAAAAGGATGTGTTTTAGCCTTAAACCATTTTAATCCAAGCTAATATGACAGTGGCCTAAGCCAACCCATAGGATTTTAATTGAAAAGCAAATAATTTCACCATATCTGTCCTCAAAAGGTATTTTGAGGATATTTAATAAAGATAAATATTCTTTTGCCAAAATCATCATTATTGTTTTCTCTTAAACCATTGGTGATCTGCTATCTTGTCAAGGGAGTGACTGGCCACAGGTCATGTCCAGAATATCAGAAAATACTTCTCTAGTGTGAACTAGACCATAGCTTCTCAGTGTTTGGCCCTGCAGATATTCTGGGGTTCAACCCCCCCCCCCCCAGTCCCTGACCATTGCACATATTGGCTGGAGCCTCTTGGAGTCAATAGATAAAAGAGCTAGAGGGTTTAAAAGCTGTGGGCCACTGAACTAGACTAAGTAGATATTCTCCAAGTTATCTTGGAATGATTTTGTTTCTTTATTGAGTTGGGGAACAGCAGGAGTACCATATCCAGAGGCCTTCTCTTGCAAATGAACATTACAAATGCACACTGCCTGTGCTCCTGAGAGATCTGTGCTGCAGTTTAGCCACCTGCTTAACAGCATGTATAAAAACAGGGCAAAAAGCATTTAATATGCTTTCAAAAGGGAAAGTGCAGATGAAAATAAGCTTAATTCTCAATTTTAATCCCTTCTGAATACATTAATCCATTTGATGTCTTAGCTAAATTTCTAGGAACTGCAATGATTTGGAGGGTGAGAGATGCTTGCCCAGTATTGGTTGTCCAATATTACTGTGAAGTTAATGTTAATCTGGAGATCAGAGTCAGAATTAACTTTGCGTTTTTAGGCCAAGATAAGTCTAAAATAAGACTTTATGTTACATAAGTAGTAACATAAAAAACAAAGAGGTGTGTAGTTACCATGATAACTATCAACTGCATGAGTAAATCCAGCTTTCCTTTTCATTTTTGGTGGCTACTTGCCATTACAAAAGTAAACCACTTTTTCAGCAGCATCCTTCTGAGTCAGAGTGGGCAATTTGTAGCCCTCCAGGAGTTGTTAGATTGCTGCTCCTGTCACCCTTCACTATTGGCTGTGCTAGCTGTTAAGAGCTGCTAGCCAAAAAAAATCTGGAGGATTAACAGAATTCTTTATAAAAAATAAGGTAAAGTTGAGATTGTTCAAGATTATTAGTTCTGAAATTCACAGTTTGGTAAGGGGATGCCCTTCAAAGTTAATTCATCTAAGGCCTAACTGAAATGCAACTGCATAGGTTCCACTGAAAATTACATCTGTTTTATAAAAATTGTATGAGCCAGGGTGCTGTAGTGGTTTCAGCATTGTACAATGACTCTGAAGACCAGGGTTCAAATCCCAGCTTGGCCATGCAAACCCACTAGGTGACCTTGGGTAAGTCTCACTCTTTCTGCCTCAGGGAGAGGCAATGACAAACCCCCTCTGAAGAAAATGTGCCAAGAAAACCCCATGGTAAGTTCACCATCACTTTGTCATAAGTTGGAAACTGCTTGAAGGAACACAACAACAAGCTCAGAATCAAGTAAAAAAAATAAGCATTTAATGTGAAAAGGCCACTTTCTGCATATGAAAATGTTAAATATTACGTTTTGAAAACCCTGAGCATTTATATATGTAAAACAAGGAACCACATCTTTTGCAAAATGGTGAAGACATGGAAATCTTGCTCACTGTTCTCGATAAGGCTTTGGGCTTCTGTTTCTTAAATTGTAGTTCTCTGTGTTGTGCTTTAAGCTGTGCTCTATTTTCTTTCTTTCTTTCTTTCTTTCTTTCTTTTTTACTGTTGAGGTGGCTGTAAAAAGAGGCTTGTGGTATTGCATAGGAGTAAGCTAATGGAAACAAAACAAGGCAACCCCCCTCCTGCCCGCCCCAATATTTGCAAGTTCTTGGGCTTGCCTGAAGCAGCTCATTGTTTATATTTTGTGCAGCCATGACAAGAAGTGCATCCCAGTAGCTGTGGTGAAGCCAGTGAGTGTGCTAGTGTAGTGACTCAGGCTTCAAGTGATGTGAACTGGCTGTAGTCCATGGACAAACAGTATCCAGAGGCCAAGTATTGGGTAGGGCTTGACATGTTTTTACTGAATGCAGAGTAGTGGCTTCATACCAGAACACTGTGTTTTCCATACTTCATGCTGATCAGGGAGGAAAAGGAATGAAGGGAGGGAAGTTGTGGGGGAGAAGAACGAGGGAAGGGGAAGGGGATGGAAGTCCAATCCAAGAGAATTCCTGTGGCATTATGGGACTGGCAGTGATTTCAGTGGAACCTTTCACAGGCTATACTTTAGGTTGAGGGACTATAGTGGCATTTTAAGTGTATGGGTGGAGGGATGAATTGAAGGTCTCTGTCTTTGAATGTACCACATTTTTTCCTCTTTAAAACTTCTGGTTGAAACTAATTTTAAAAAATGAGAACACACACCCAAAGTCAACTATTATTCTATCACATGGCATGTTTTACTTTTCAGTATAGATCCTAGTACTGTTTGTTTGGGGCAGATTCTGTGGAAACGTGATGTTGGACAGCTTCATTTCAGAAAGTATACATTATATTTTTAAAAATAAAAGTTTAGCACACACACACTCCATAAATACGTATATGTGCCTGGCAGAAGAACACACATTAAAATCAGCTCAGCTACCCTGCTTTACTAACAGAGTAGCTTTACTGTGCCTCTCCTAAAATGTGTGCTACACTTTTACATTATTTTATATAGTATACATTAAGAATATAGGGATTTTCTTCAAGGAAAATTTGAGCATTTTTTGTTACACATAAAACACACATAGCACAGAAAAAGAGGGTTAGGAGGCGGTAGTGTGGGGAGACTGAGTTTTACTGCAAAAACTCCTTAGAAAGAGACAAATAGGAAATATGAAAATTGACTTTATCAGAAAGCTTCAGGAAGAAAAATGGCAGAATTGCTGCACTTTTTGGCCCTGTCTGCGCTAAATAATTATATTGAGATTGACAGTGGAAAATGAAATATCTACCAATGTTAAAACATTCAGAGCAGCTTGAAGATGCTCACAAGAAGTGTGCATCTCTTCCTTTCTGTTCATTATTTGTTAACATTTTTACTGCACTCTTCCTCTAAGAAACTGGTTTGTCAGCCACATACAAGGGTGCGTTTTAGACATAGAGAGAGAGAGGCACATGCTTATGAGTATCCAGTGAACCTTCATAGCTAAGCAAGGTTTGGAAGCAGACATTCCCACAGTTTGGCACCATTGCCTTTGCACTGTGGTTTCCCCAATAAGTAGTTATGTGATAGTCTTTTGCAGGAAAAACAATCAAAAGGCCTGTGGCATCTTAAAGGCTAACACATGTCTCATGGCATGTGCTCTTGTGGACCACAGCTCACTTTATCACATGTAAGAATTGTTTATTTAGAATTCCAGTACACATGCTTGCAGATGGGACTGCAATAGTGAGGTCAGATGAAAATTAAATGCAGAAAGTACTGATCATGATGAGTATTGACTTGTATTTGTATATCTTGTTGGAAATGCTAATATTAAGTCTGGGAACAAGTACAAATTGTTAAATTGGAGAAGGTGTTTTGGCACCTTGTGAAGAAATATCTGCCACCTATCCTAGAATTATAATTAAAGGCAGGAGACATGGTGGCTAGGCTTGGTTATAATTGTTTGTAGTTTTCAAATATACTGATTTTCTCCTCACTTTCCTTGCAGGTGGCGTTGGTGCTTCCTTCCAGTGCCAGTTGATCCATCAAGACCACATCTGTACTGATGACAGTGACAAGGTAATGGAAATTAATACCTGAAGGCAATTCATTTATTTAAGTGTCTGTCTGCTGTAATGGCAAACCCGGTATAAATGAATTTCTATAGTAAAACTGTGTATTTACATTATGATGAAGTTGCTTTTCAAAACAGGTTTTTGTTTATAAAACTGTGAATGTTGTTTTTTCTAAGAATGAATGTATCAGTGAATGCTTGGAGTTGCTTACATGATCTATGATGGATCATTCATGAACAAAGGATTTATTTCCTCCTTCTCTCTGAGTACAGCAGTACAATTTAGTTACCTTTGACTTGTAAAACATGAAAGTGTGTTGGGGGGGAATCCAGTCAGTTTCTTTACTACGGGGGGTTACAGACTGCCAGAAATAGTGCAAATTGAGTCCACTTTTAGGGTTAGGGTTAGGGAATCATGGGAACTGTAGTTTATTGTGGCACCAGAGCTCTCTGACAGAGAAGGCTCAATGTTTCAGAAAAAAAACAGTTCCCATGATTCCCTAGCACTAACCCTAACCCTAAAAGTGGACTCAATTTGCACTATTTCTGGCAGTCTGCAACCCCCCTCAGTCTTCCCTGTGATTCAAGTCTGAAGCTATTCACAAAGGAATTTTTTTTTAAAAAAAATCAATAAATTGTATGTTTAGAGATGCAAACAGATGAAGATATTTATGTTGGGGAATATAAATAAAAATGCTTAATCTGTATGCATGGAAATTCTTCTCCCAGGCTGTGCACATGTTAAGGTGTTTCAAAGCTTTCACTTGATTTTCAACTGGCAAATGACTATGAGCTATGGTATATATATATGTATATATATATATATATATACACATATATACAAACATATACTGCTGTTTTGTGGGATAATTAAAACATTTCAGGATTGGTATTGGTATTGAAAATTTAACTGGCCTTCCTGGAAGTTTCTGCTTTCATTTTGAATAAGCAAACATCCAGCTCTTAACAGCTGGTTGGCAATAAGGCTTCAGTGTTGTGTACAACTCCTTACTCATTCTCACAGTAAACATCATTTAAATAAATTATGGAAACTGTATTAGAATTATTCTAAATCCTAAGGTTGCAGTGTATGGATTTCAAGCCTAATAGGCTATCTTTTCCCTTTTGCGTCACCAGTAGATTTTCTTCCCTTTTTCTTCGTAAACTTGATTTGGTGCATTTGAAACATAGAAATCACATGAGTAGGTGGTTGCAATGTAACCTCTTGGATACAACTCCATGTGATAAGCCACTTCCCATATGGCTTGTGTGGGTTTTAACTGTACCAGCACAACACCCCAGATATGGAAAAAGTGCACCCAAACCATGTGGGAAGTGGTTGGCTTGAAGTACATGTGATGTGGAACTTCTCTTTCATGCACAAATTGCAAATAGCCACCCACATGGGTTGGCAGCATATATTAAATAGGCTTTTATTCTCACTGCACACTACTCGAACTGTAGGAATCATTTTCATGGCTTCCTGACTTTTGCAGGAAGGGAGAAAGCCTTCACAGCCTACTGAAAAGGTTTATCATAAAGGAAAATGCTTTGTCTCTAAGGCTATTCACTGTGGCTGAGAAGGAGAAGGAAGGATCATATGGGCATGTTCCCTTTGTTTTTGTTTTTCCTCTAAGAGAAGTTTTGCTCTAGTTCTCAGATTTGGCTTTTTAAGCTAGGAGAGATGGAAGGGAGTTGCTTTCAGGCCTCTCTGTGGATTATCTGTACAACACATGCTGAAGCAGAAAAGTTTGCCCCTTTAGGCTATAGAGAAGATTTTGTGCACTTATGCCACCTAGCCATTTTGGGGAGAGGGAGGAAATACTTGCTCCTGAGCACTGGACTTTTAAGAGTAAGCAGTAGCTGCATTAGTTCTTTTCCAACTCTTCTGAAGCTCAGGAGGAAAGCACTCTCAGGTTCCAGAAATTTATAATATCATCCACCATAGATTTGATTCCTGTGGTCTATTTTGCACCTGGGTTTTGATTTCAATTCAGTAATGGATGCAGGTGGTCTTGATCCTGGGACGTATTTCTTTTTCTGTCTCAGTTTCATAGCTATAAAGTGGTGGGAAAGAGCTCACCCCAATGGTGGCTGTGAGGACTTTAAAAAAGATGGTTTTATAGCATCCTTGAATAATCAGGTGCAGTATAAATGCTTAATAAAAATGACTTTGTAATTGAGAACAGTGATGCTTCTGAGTTTGCATCCTTTTGTGCTTCATGTTGAAATGTGCTGATACTGCATTATTTCATCTCTTTTTTTCTTGTTAAGAGGGTAGGCAAGGTAACATTGTTCTTCCCATTATTGTATTGTCCTTTGAGAAAGTGCGTCATGCAGCCTGTCCCCACATAACACATCATGGGTATGGAAAGAGGAGGTCACCACAGACTATAGACCGAGAAACTTTTAGAGACTGTGAGCTTTGGTCATCTGTTCTGGAATATTGTCTCATAACAGGGTAAAATGCATTTCTTGTGAAGCAGAAAATGTAATGTTCTGTAAAACATACAGATAAATACTTGAGAGGAACAACCTATCCTCTGCCTCCATTCCAGTTACATGGCCTTGCTAACTTTGTTAAATTTTAA